ATTGGTTTATTATGTATTATCTTGAGATGTTACAGTTTCGTTTTACGTTGCCATGGTCGACTATTAGGAAAAAAAAAAAAGAAAAAAAAAAAAAAGAAACCGGTAGGGAAAACTTTTTGATCCGTTTAATTTGATTTATTGTTTTGTTTTGTTTTTTTAATTTCTTGTTTCCCTATGATTCATTTTGTTTCCTTTATTGTGCCTCAGTTTTACTGAATAATGGGTCTAGTTTTTTTTGGTCATGTTCGTGTATGTTATTACTACTTATACTTAATTTATGGTGATGTTGTATTTTAGGTGATACATTGTCCAAGTCGTTGCCTTTTGTGTGGTCTTTCTCACCAACCTTTTATTTGAGGCCTCCTCTCTTCCGGCCCTGTTTTTGCTTCCTGGCAACAAACTTACCGCAGCTTCATGTTTCAACACTCCTGATCCGGATCTCCTCTGGTCGCCTTTAAACTCTCTCCTCTCCTCCCTCTCGGCTCCTTTTGGACGACCGAAGAAAGAAATGACTTCACAGCGGAGGATTTATTAGTTCTTGGTTGTCTTTGAAACTCTTTAAAAAAATAAAAAATAAAAACCCACCTGAACCTGAACCTGAACCCGAAGTGAACCGAGTCTGGTCACCATGAGAAGTCGGAGCAACTCGGGCGTTAAACTGGACAACTATGCCCGGATGGTGCAGCAAACGATCCTGAGACACCAAGTGAGTGTTTAACTTTAACTTTAATAAAGTAATAAAGTGAAATAAAGTCAGTCAGAGCTCGAAATCAAACGTTTTGGTGCAAGTAGGTGAAGTAAAGTTGCGCAATGCATGTGCACAAACACACACTATACACATATTACACACTCATTACTTTGTGTGTCTTATTGCAGGTAGATTAATAAAGGTTTGGAGTCATTTTTGCACTTGCACACCTTTGCACATTATTATTATTCCCAATAATAAACATGGGAACACTTGACACAGCATGTAGGAGCCTGGTTGCAGGAATATTTGCTCCATAAATGCTGATTTAATCCCAAATAATCCCATATATCATTACATTTAAAGTTATCTGATAAATAAAGTGCAATAAATTGTATATTTCCCATTTAAATGTAGTAGAATAGAGGTTATAAAGTTGGACTTAAAGCTGCAATAAGGAACTTTCTTTTAGTGTTGATTCTGGCGACCCCTGTGGACAAAAGCGGTACTGTTTAATTGATTTCAAGGGGAATCCGACTCTCTGATAATCTTTTGTGCTTATATAGAGTCACACAGAGGCGTCAGCGTTACATAACCAGTTAAAAAACTCCTTTTAGTACCTTTTTTAAGTGCAGTAATCTTAATTTAACCCTCAAACGAGTCTCTAAACCCTCAAATAGCCCCTTCGAACACACACATAACCTCCTCCTCTGCTGCTCTGTGTTTCCTTAAAACACCAAACAGGATTTTGCATGAAAGCCGCGGAGAGAAATCTTATCTGTCCACAGCAGAAGAGCAGCAACAACTGGAGAAAAATCCAGTGAATTAGTGAGATGTTGGTGGAAAAGAGGCTGTGGAAGGAGACTAAACACACCAACTCCATCCACTCTTGGAGTTGATAAAGACACTAAGGAGGAAGAGAGGAGGAAGAGGTGGTCCGGAGGTTTGTTATCTCTTTGTTTTACTCATCCGGCCTTTACAGTTTAGTCGTTTCAACTACAAGAAACTTCAAATGGAGGATGAAAAGAGGACACACTCGACGCAAAGTCACCTTTTGAATCCGTCCCAGATGGCTGTCGGCCAGTTGTATGCAGCTCAGTGCTCAGATGGATCACTGCACTAATGACTGCGGCAGTGAGAGCAGAGGGTCTGCAGCTGATTAATAGAGATAAATGCACTGATAGGAAATCGATCTAGTCTGCTAGTGGTGATTTAGAACTTGTTGTGAGGGTTAAAATAGTTTATTCCACTAGTAAACTAACAGTTTTCTTACTCTAAACACATAAATCAAACTATTTATAACTCAGTTTTCTGTGGAGAAGAAGAAAGATCGAACATGTCTCGCTGCTGTATTTGCGCAACTTACCCAGAAGCCACCTTGTGTGACATTTCTCTAACTCGGCTGGTGATGAAACCTGACTCTGTGTTGAAAGAGGAGACTTAGCCTTGATAATATATAACTTAAACAACAGGAGAAATTATCATTCAGCAGCTCTTCAGGAGGAATAACAGAGAGAGAAAAGGCTGTTTTTATTCGGCGTTTAAAGATTAACTGCAGTCAAATGAGGGATTTAGTTTCAGCTCTCACAGTATCTCATTTGCATGTTTATTTTGAGGTTATCAAAGGGTTGTAAACATCCTCTTTGCAGTAGGAAGCAATGGGGCTTATGGGAAATGTAGTTTTTGGGCCTGTTTTCTTACATATGATCCAAACGTTTTGAAATAAGAAGATACATATTTTCATTTTTACCGTTTTTAACAGAAAAATAACCATTTTTCATACCAATTTTTATTTTTTTTTTACACATATTTTATGTCCCCAGACAACCAAATGTTGTATTTTCTGCTACAAGAAGACAATATTTGTAGTAATTGACGTCCTCTGGTGGTACGAGCTTAAAAGATCACTAATTTCAGAACAATTAAAGTCGTGTTATTTCGTCATTCGTAGTAGATAAGTCCTCTGTTGATCCCTTACTTTGGAAATTAACAAGCATTAATTAATCATGATCAAAACGTACAATCAGAGTTAATATGAAGAGCTGGTAAAATAAACTTTGATTGCTGGGAGTTTAAAGGAAAGCTGAGAACTTTATAGGAACAATTTATACGTTGTTACGGCTTAAAGAGTCTGGAAATGTTTGATTTAGGAACTTAAAAGTGCTTTAATTCTACTGTAAAAGTCCCTCAAAGTGATAATAAAACAGCAAAATGATCCCAGTTTGCCTTATTGATGTTTAATAATTATAACTTGTTCTTTATATATATTATATAAGTTCTCTGTCTTACATATTCAGGCCAAACATTCTGTCAAACAACCACACAAAGGTTAATACGCTCCCCTCTGTGCTTTACGCTGTCCAGTCATTAGGTTGTGTTAACTGCTGACCTCTGACCTTTGCCCTCTCTCTCTCTCTCAGGATCCAGTGACGGGTCTTCTCCCAGGCAGCTCGGATCAGAATCATTCCTGGGTCAGAGACAATGTTTACAGCGTCATGTCCGTGTGGGCCCTCAGTCTGGCCTACAGGAAGAACGCCGACAGGGACGAAGATAAGGCCAAAGCCTACGAACTGGAGCAGGTAGATCACGGGGAAAAGATCATTAATCGTCATTTTTAAAATCCATTAAATGCCAAATTAATTCTTCAAAGGCCTCCATGTTTTCTCTGCCTGCACACCAGCAGTGATCATGTGTCTCTCTGTGTCTTTTCAGAGTGTGGTGAAGCTAATGAGAGGCATCCTCCAGTGCATAATGAGGCAGGTAGGTGGTCTCAAAAGTATTTAATTCTTCCTCTTTCTGTTGTATTCTTGTCTGACGGAGAGCTACAGCAGTAAATTAAACCCAGATAATTCACCTTTTTAAACCTCACCCACATAAAGTCTTCTGCCACCCGATTCAGAAAGGTTATCTTCAAAGGTAATTCATTAAGAGAGTGTTTATAGTCAGTAATTCATCAAATAAAGCAAAAAATATACAATATCTGCGGGTTTGTTAAGACTCCGGTTGTCATTACCTGTTCTCACAACTGCCTTTAATAGATTTTTGGCCAATGCAACAAGCTGTTAGCACAACATTGACATATTATTGGCTCATAGAGATCATATGTGATGGCAAACAGTGGCGTATTTAGTCATCCAGGAGACACAGAGCGACATTAACGTTCATTAGGAGTCTATAAGTCTCTTTTACCTCTGTTTTTGGTCTCCACCACCGCCCGAGGGAAATATGCTGAATGCTGTGCTATGTTTAGCAGCTGGTTGCTAACTTTTTTGTAGTTTGGTTAACTTCTTTTGGGCTTACCAGAACATTTGTGCTGAAAACAGTTGCCCCCAAAAGTGCAAACAGTAGAATTTTTGGCCATAAAACCAAAAAAACTGAGCTAAAAGACCCTAAAACTCTCCTTCGTCACTAGGAGCAATTCCTACTCTGAACATGAAAATATTGAATATAGCAGGTTTGAATACAGAAAAAGTAGCAGATTATACAAAAATACCATCATATAACAACATTTCAGGAACCTTTGTTAAGAAACTGGAAATAAAGGAACCACATGGGAAGGAAAAATAAAGGTCCTTCATCACATTGAACCAATATTACTATAAGATAGTCTCCACTCATTACAGGTTTTCCACAATATGGAGATTTCTTGCATTCTACCATCTATAACATATATATATATATATATATATATATACATATAATCGTCTTCTTGCCCCCCTCCAGCTGGATAAAGTGGAGAAGTTTAAATACAGCAGAAGTACCTCAGACTCACTCCACGCCAAGTACGACACCAGGACCTGTGCCCCTTGTGTCAGGGACGACCAGTGGGGTCACCTACAGGTCGACGCCACCTCGCTCTTCCTGCTCTTCCTCGCTCAGATGACGGCAGCTGGTAAATATGCAACAAAGAGATGGGTTTTTTTTTACATGTAAATTTATTAAAAATGAATTTTGAGCAGACATTTTCCTGTTTAGAGAACTTTTTGTACAATTATCTGTTTATTTTTTATCATTTTTAACAATCATACAGACTTATTGGGCTTCTTTTCTTGACAAATTCAGTGTTTACTTGTTGCAGTTTAAGGAGAAACTTAACTTTAGAGCTAAGTGGGATAAAAAAAACTGCTCAATCTGGGTAAAGTTCTGGGGAATTGTCGGCTGTTTATGGATTTGAATTTCATTTCTGGATGAGTTTTGGTCTAAAACTCGCACAGATTTTTCCCCGGTTTGGGGAAATTGGCTACATTGATGAGTGTTTTCCCTCCCCAGGTCTCCACATCGTCTACACCCAAGATGAAGTGGACGTAATTCAGAACCTCATGTTCTACATCGAGGCAGCATACAAAGTGGCCGTAAGTGTTCGTTCCCAACACTGTCGCTTAAAAAAGGGAAAAACTGAGCTCCTGCTAATATTAACTTTAAATTCCTGGATCCATTTTGAACATTTTCCTGTTAACTTCCTCTTTTATCCGGCTCCTTTACAGGATTACGGGATGTGGGAACGAGGAGACAAAACCAACCAGGGCATCACTGAAATCAACGCCAGCTCTATAGGCATGGCCAAGGTGGGTGCGCCCAGAAACACACACACTCTTTCACTTTGTCTTTTCCTTTTAGTCCTGAGCGTGATGTGTGTGTGTGTGTTCCCTTTTAGTCCTGAGCGTGATTGTGTGTGTGTGTGTGTTGTGTGTGGTGTGTGGTGTGTGTGTCGTGGTGTGTGTGGTGTGTGTGTGTGCTTGGAGGAGTGAGGGAGGGAGGAACAGTTGGGAAGCTGGATGGAGGAAAAACAGCGGTGCGCGGAGGGGTGCTGAGGTGAGAGCAGAGCTTCCACCAGCCACAGAGGGCAGAACAGGTGCTCCAGGTAAAAAATCTCTGCACGGTGGAAGGGTCTAGGTCTGCAGCCGGGCCTTCTACCACTTGACTTTAGACGGCCCCGCCGAGTCGCTCCAAACCAACTCGGGCGGGCGGGTGGGAGGACTTTGTTTTGGTGCTTGAAACGTTTACGGGGCCACTTCCTGGATGGTCCAGTATAATAAATTACTCAGAGAAAATTAAACCGCAGACAGCTCATTTTGTTTGGCTGAATGGGCTGAACATGTTTTTTCTCGATCTTATTGAGGATTGAACCCAGATAATCCTTCAAAATAAATGGAAACATCCGAAATCCTTCAAGAATATTTCGTAGTTAGGAAGTTTTCACATAACAGGATACGAACTCTCTCCTCTGGTGCCTGACCCCGGCTGCCGTCCTTGGCCGGCGGCGGCGAACAGGAGGTATCGGGTTCTCTGTGTGGTCTTCCAAGAATGACTTCTCACTCAGAAATAACACAGGACTCGCAGTACCCAGCACACACACAACACACACA